GTCGCTGTTCAATTTATTTATTTATTTGAAATTATTTATTTTTATTTTTATTTTCAAGAGCCTCTCTCTCTCTCTCTCTCTCTCTCTCTCTCTCTCTCTCTCTCTCTCTCTCCCCATCACCGCACGTCTGAACGCTGTAGGCCGCTGTGTCTGTGTGTGTGTGTGTTTTTTCTTTTTTTTTAATGAACCGCGGAGCATAACGCCGCGTTCGGTCGCATTCATTCCGTTCAAAAACTGAGTGGAAAACCCACGTTCAATGAACACACGTTTACACAGACCTCCTCCCTTTCGCAGGGGAACATCATAGCAGGATCTGATATCATCCGCACAGGCCCTAGACTCATGCTACTTGGACTGCTACCCTCCTAGACTTAGCCTACCAGCTACTGGACCTCCAAAGATGCCAACGTTTGTCTTCTTCTGCTCGGCCTCCAGTCCCCGACACATCCACCGCTACTTGAGTGCTACCGGCTTACCTGCTACTTCCTTGTTTTTCCTAGCTGGTCTAAGTGTCGTGGGCTTACTCCCGCTACTTGAGTGCTCTCCCTGCTGCAACCCTCACAGTCACAGCCACAGGTAAGTACCGGCCCCCTTGGGCCTCCAAACAAACAAGTGCCCTGGCGGGCCAGACACACTCAGGCCGACAAGCACTCAGGCAGGCCCACAAGGGCCACAACCAGCAAGCACGCACACACACACAGACTTAGAAAACTCAGCAGAAAGAGGGAATCTCGGCAAGGCATTCATTCCAGTGGCAAAACTCAGAAATCAGCAGAGTTCTCAGTCTGTCTTTTGGTGGGTCATTACAAGTGTATATATACCTCCGTAGGCACAAGCATCTTCCCCCCCATTAGTGCAACAATCCAGGTTTTGCAAAACTTTTCAAATTTTCAAGTCCCAACCCCAACCCCGTCCCCCAAGTCCCATCCAAGCCAATCTACCTACTATAATACACTACCTCAAATAGTCCCCCTACTAGTACTATCACACACAACCCCAAGATAATCTCCCCCATTCCACATACTAACTATTGCACACAACCTTCCTAAGCCTATCCAAGCACCACACTCCATACACCACCTTCCTAAGCCTAATAGCCTATCCAGTCCAGATGCCCACCCAGAACACCCAGGCCTCTAAGAACTATTCTTCCAGGTCGGGAGGGAACTTCTGCAGTAGTGAGCCGGAGGCAAGATTGCCCGGCTGCTTGTCTTTCACCACCAAATGGCAGTATTTCCCCCAAGCCTTCCAAAATTTTGCGGCCTCAACCCCTGACTTTCACGTCTGTTTTCGCCAGTCGTCTATCAGGGCCATTCTCAAATTCTCCAAAAATCTGCTTCTCAGCCCCACCAGTGCGACACCCTTGCCTTGGCGGACACATTCGTTCGCATAGTCTATTATCCCCAGAGAACTGCTCCCATGACAACTTCTGCTGCGTAGAGCCTCTGCGTATCCATTCTTTCCACCGCCATCAGTGTATCCAACAGGACGGCCGCGTCATCTTCATCAGTAACTATCCACGAGGAGGGCTCATTCATTGCTGACTCCCACAATCGCCAGAAGCCCGCTATCACTGGGCAGTGCAAAAAAATATGTGGAGCAGAGGCCCTCCTTGTGGCAGCTTCTAGTTGCAAGCCGCTACGCTGTAGGGAGTGCTAAGTGATAAATCTGCCACAACAATCCGGCCTGCTTCTGATCGAGGAGGAACTTCAGGATTGCACATTGCTCCTTCCATTTTCGGTGAGTCCATCTGAGGATTAACACCGGCGGGATCCAATCATGCTTAGCCCATCTGTCTCTCAATTCAACGGCAACATCCACCTTGAGGAGGATCGCACGGAATCTTCTTCGTGGTGAGTTGCTGCAGGAGGATACTTCCGTTATTGAAGTTATGAGGGTGGAGGGACAAGTCCTGGGGATCCACGACTAGCTGTCGTCTGGTCATAGCGAGGCAGAAGGGGAGATACACGTCATCTCTCCACTTGCCCCCTTTGCCGACCGCTACCAATTCAACATCAGCAGCCTTCAGCTGGCATCTACAGCGAGGCCATCCTCCGCAGATCTCACCAGGGGCTGCCCCAACCCCTCATATCTGACGGTCGCCTCCCATTCAGTAGCCATCAGATTCACTCCTGTACACACCCCTTCCACCCTATACACCAGCCGGGGGCAGGTTTTCCCTTACGTGTCACCCACTCTCCCGCCCGGAACCCTCCATCCTTTAACAGCTCTATCCACTGTAGCAGGATTGACTCCCGCAACTCAGTAACTCTGGTCCGGTGGTGGAATTGACTTCGTAGGCACCTCATCGTGTCATTGTCAGTTCTATAGCCATTCCTTTCCACCAGAGATGAGCAACGGGTACCCAGACCCACACCCACCCGCACCCACCCCACCCAAGAGGCATTGGGTCAGGTGTGGGTCTTGACAAGCTGGCATGGGTGGGATGAGGGTGGGTCTAGGCGAGCAAGCCTGGGTGGGTGCCGGGCGGGCCAATGTTAGGCCAGGGTCACCCGAATGGGTGGGTGACAAGCAGGTAAGCTCTAGGCCTCGGCTACCCGACCCACAGACCCAGGACACCCATAAGAACCCTCCCCCCCACTCCCCACCCCCACCCCGTATACATATTTCCCAGCTCCAATTCATCTGTGGACTTCAAAGGTTGGAGGCCCAGGAAACGGAAAGTCTCCACCCTGGGGCCCCTGGGAAAAAAAGTTGTGGTCCCCGAAAAAAAGAGCCGTGCCAGTGGCAAATCAAAATCCGGGGTCCTTTATAAGGGTCACGCTCTACTGATGGCAGCTGGACACGGCCGAAACAACGGGATGTTCGCTCCCATCAAAACAACAAGGATCGAACCTGACCACAGCAAGTGGCAAGCCTTAGGTTCACTACCCAATTTCAAATTTGTGGAGCGATTGGAATTTCTGCAGGCAGAGATGCTTCAAAGTTTTGCGCCGTAATCCAAGGATGTCATGTTGCTATGGTGCGTGCAAATGTTCGAAGGGACTGATACAGGTGGAAAATAATTAGGTACCGGGTGTGGGCAGGTAATTATGTTCTCACGGGTGTGGTTGGGTCAGGGTGAAGGTTTTTTACGGGTGACGGGCGGGTTTGGTGTGGGAGCAAATTTTCAAAAAAACACTCGTGCTTTAAAAGTTATGCGCGAGTTGGGTGAAGTGTCAACAAAAACAAAATGCTCATCTCTGCTTTCCACATCCCACAGGTGCCCTATTTTGAAGACTCCCTGCTCCACCCATTGCCGACCGAAAACCCCAACCTTACCCTGCCAGGGGAATGGGTCTCCCACCCTATCACATATAAATCTATTACCAAACAGCAGTTGATTGAAAACTGTGTCAGCCGACTCAGGCCAACTGCATTGCCATTGCATATTCTTTTTCCAAGCGAGAGTGCCGCAGACCACACCGTGTTCCTTCGAACATGCCTCATTATGTCCGCGCTAGTGAGACAGGTCCGACACGTCCATCGGCACCCTCAATGAGTAAGCCAGGCACTGTGATAACCCCCCACGGTTCCCCCGCACATTCTCAGCAGCACCCAGACAAGATTCTGCAGCTGCAGCGCCGTCAACTGTAGCACAGGATCAATAATGCCCAACCCACCCACATGCCTCGGTTGAATGAGCTTTGGCCATGCCACCCCGCATATGCACTTGTCCTTCGCCACCCGCCCTGACCACAGGAAGGCGTGGACCGCTTTGCATAGCTGGGAAGCCACCCCCCGATTCGGCAAGTGAATCGCACCCGCATACCACGTAGTGGCAAATACCGAGTTGTTTAGGACCACGGCCTTGACAAACACTCCCATGCTGCCCCGGTCACCCCAAACCGCCGCCTTAGCCGTCAGTGCAGTCATCTGAGCATCTTCCCCTCCCGGTGGAGCGACACATACTCCCAAGAAGGTGAGCTGATCATCATTGCCTGGTGTGGGAATGTCCCAGCCATCAGGGGGGGGGGGGGTTGACCTTAGGAAGTATCACCGTAATTTGCCCCAGCTCACTCTAGGCCCCGAGTACATGCAGAAGATTGCTGGGTCCTCCTTTAACACTCCCAACTGTTGCAAAATGGGCGGGGGGGGTAATTGCCCCTGTATCGTCAGCAAAGGCTGATGATTTCACCCATTCATCCAGTCCCACTTTCAGCCCCATCAATCTCTCGTCTCATCGCAATAAATCATGGAAGGCCTCGATATAAATAATGTATAGGCCGGGGAATAAGGGACAACCCTGTCTGACTGACCGGATGATTCAAATACCATCGGATCACACCCCATTAACCTGCATATATGTCTGAGCCCCTGTCAGCAAGGTGCGCATCCCCCTCCTTTCCATGCAGTGGCACAAAAACATCCGGCAGACACCATCATATGCCTTCTCCACATCAATGAGATAGTTAAAAAAAAAAAAAAAAAAAAAAAAACA